CTCCAGCCCTTCCAAGGGAGAGATGTAGAGGCCAATAAAGGGGAAGAGGTACCCTGACAGTTTGTGTGATGATAGTATGTTTGTTTTTAAACAGGAGCCCTGCCTCATTCAGTGCCCCACAGAGATCTCTTTGGGGGCTGAATCGGTGCTGTGTGTTGAAGGACTCAGTAGGATCTCTACCTTGTTGCAGAAGCTGGAAGTTTTGTAAGAGTGAGGTAAATTGTAGGAAGCGGAAGGTTGGCCGTATGGTTATGAAGCTTGATGTCATTCTAGAAACATGCTACATCTACACTGGCAGCTTCTTGCGCAAGAAGTTTTTTGTGGAAGAGTTCTTGCGCAAAAAGTCCTCTGCAAGAGTGCGTCTATACTGGCATGTGCTTTTGTGCAAGAGCGTCTATGGCAGTGTGGACGCTCTCTTGCGCAAGAAAGCTCTGATGGCCATTTTAGCCATAGGGGTTTCTTGCGCAAGAAATTTATGTTGCCTGTCTACCCTGCCCTCTTGCACAAGAGGGCTCATTCCTCGTGGGGAGAGGAATAACTCTTCTGAAAGAAGCCCTGTTTTCCAACGCTAGACTGTAAATTTACTTGCTCAAGAACGCGTGTGCAGTGTAGACACCCGTCAAGTTTTTGCACAAGAACAGCTGTTCTTACACAAGAAGCCGCCAGTGTAGACATAACCTTAGAGTCTATCCCCTACCTCTGTCACAAAAACTTCTTGTGAGATGCTGGGCAAGACACTTGTACCACAGTTTTCACAGGTAGTTGGTTCTGTCTGTAACAAAAGAGTATCCTAATGCATAGACACAATGGTGCCAAATTAAGGTTTTATGGGCAACAACCATTCTAGTAGAATGCTTAAATCCCTTTTAAGCCTTAATTTTGTATGTGCTAATGTTTTAATCAATTAGTGTATTGATGAGCAACTCTGATTAAATTAATTTCTGCATGAATATTAAATTACTGCTTAGTTTATAAACAACAACGGTCAGTCCACATTCTGATAAGGAATAGCACTAAAGATAACCTCTCAGCCGTGGCAATATTAACCAAGGGCCTCACTCATTGACTTTCTAGGGCTCTGACCTGGCAAACTTTTATGTATGCTGTCAATTAACTTTATGCACCTGAACCCTCCAGGTACCCTTGGTGGAGAGAGGAGAAAGTGCATTGCTTTTTTTGCTGCGTTTCTCACTCTGGCTGGGGAGTGTAGGGGGCAGACTAACCTGAACCTACCCTCTTCCCCAGTTATGCCCATTGGAGTTTCAGTGACTAGGGAAAGGTGTTTCTCACCTGGCCCAACCTGCTGTGTTGAGAAGGTAGGGATAGTCCTCTCTCCTTGGGGCAGCCTGCAGACTGAGCTCCTCATTCCCAGCCATAATTACCATTTTATTTTCCAAAAAATAAAAATTGAATTAAGGACCTGATCAATGCTGGATAAACCTTCTAGTATTAATACCCCCCCCCCCCCCCGCTTTTTTTGCAAGTGTATTACAATGACTTTAATGCAAATTGTAATCCATTCTAACCCCACATTCCTTTTCAGCAGTATCACCATCTACTCATTACCTCCCATTTTATAGCTGTGCATTTGATTTTTTTTTATCCTAAGTGTAGTATTTGCACGTATCTTTGAATGTCATCTTATTGATTTCAGATCAATTCTACAATTTATCTGTGTTTTGAATTCTAATCCTGCTCTCCAACATGCTACGAATACCTGTCAACTTGGTGTCATCCTCTTGTTTTATAAATATATTCTCATTAATGAAACTATTAAACAGGACAGATCCTGTTTGGAACCTGCTAGATATGTTCTCCCAGTTTAACAGCAAACCATTGATAATTGCTAGACCACAATTCCTTAGTTGCTTTATAAGATAAAGTATGAATGAAGTTATTCACATGCTGAAATACATTCAGGAGGGAGGATCAAGTTTAGTAAGGAAAATGCAAAGTTAGAAGTTCTTTCGACTATTTAAATGATGTTTTTAGCCAAAGAAATGATTGGCCTGTCAAACTAATATTCTGGTTGAGGGGACCGACAAAATGTAAGATAGTGGTTGCCAACTAGACATCAAGC